GGGGACAACGAGCGCCTCAAGGCAGAGATCCTGGTGCTCAGGGAGGCCGCCTCAAACGCTGCGGCTGCCGCCGGCGATGAGCGGGTGCGTTCTAGAGCCGGGGGGGAGGGGGGTGTACTCATAGTCGTGCATGCCGTAGTCGTTAGACCATTGACCTCGCATCCCTACTAAGCCGGGACGGAGCACGCCGGGTTCTCACCGGACCAGGCTCTCACATCACCAAGCGCGAAGCGCCGTGAGGTATTCGGCGAGTCGCATGAAGGGTGAGCTGCATCCTGCTAAGGGTGTTCGGCATCTTGTGCTTACTTCCTTGCGTACGAATGACAGCTGCGTATGAATTAATTTATTTTCTGGTGCTATCACTTCCAGAGACAGTTATAAGCACTGTGTAACTTCCTCGAGGCTGCTTGACCATTTTAACACAACGTGGTGCGATCATCCCCCTTGCGCGGAATGAGGGTTCTCCACCCCGCACAACATGATCTTCTCGACCACCATTACGGTTACCGCCAAAAAAAAAAAAACAGAGGTAAGAAAAAAAAAGCGGTAACCTGGTTGCCGAGTTCACGGAGTGAATTGGCTTGTTTTACAACGTCGTTGCCAAGCGACGAAAAACCAATCTCGATAGCAAACACCAAGGGGGGGAATATGGGGGGGGGGGGGAGGAGACAAACATACGGAGGTGCCAAAAAAATCTCGCACAGCACCAAGCACGAAGGCGCGGGTGGGCGGGGGACTCGCCGAGGGTACCCTGGTTCTTCACACAACACGACGCAACTCACGTTCACGTCCGGTAGCAACATCAGCAGTAGCAGCAGCAGGATTGACTGGACAACGGGGAGGGTCTGTCTCCCGCTTCTACATATGGTCCATGCACAACAATTTCTCCAGTCGCGTTTTTAGCGGTAACATTTGAAAGAAAAGGAGTCGGCCGGCGTTCCAGCCATCGTTTTGATTGATCCCTACACCAAGGCGAGAAAAAAAGGTTCCGCCGAAAAAAAAGGTCGACCTCGTTAGACCTGCTCTATTTCCAAGTCGTTGTGGAGCCAAAAAGTTCAAGACTGCGAGAATCTCTCGAATATAGACAAAACAGGGAATATCTCGAGAAGGAGAGTTTTTCTCGAAACACGAAAAAACCCGCTCATGAAGATTGATGAGAGGAATCGTTTGCCGCACTCTTTTTGGAAATCGGCTAGCTGGATCAAAAATGCGAAAGCTTTCAAGCCGCGGTTGTTTTTCGTGAATATTGGAGATATCTCGAGGAAATGAGTTTTTCTCGAAAAAACAAAAAACCCGCTCATAGGGATTCCCGAGAGGAGGCGTATGCCCCACTCTTTCTCGAAATCGGCTAGCTGGGTCAAAAATGCGAAAGCTTTCAACTTTTCCCAGTTTTTTTCAAATAGAAAATGCGAAGATCAACACGAGAAAAAATATTTCTCCTTGGGTCACATGCGCCTTGAGACAAGGCATTCGCCGGTGTTTTTGGTTTTTCGAACAATCACCCCTACCCCGAGAAAATTGCACATTTGGGCCGGCGAAAATCATGGACCAATTGTTGTGCATGGACCATACACCACAAACGTTTCAAGCAGCCGCCTGCCTGTGTATGCCGAACCGGAACCAAATCGCCAAGAAAAGTAGCATTATGTATTGTATCCAGCATCGCGTTTGGCGGTGACACAGTTTGAAGTACGGCACGGCAGATATACCTTGTGGGGGAGCCGGACGGGGTATCCAGATCGGGCGACTCGAACGGCCTCCAACACGCCTCCGTACCGTAGCTGCTCCATGACTCGCACCCTCGACACCTCGTCGGGCTCGGCGTTGTCGTTAGGCTTGATGCACCGGATGTAGTGCGGACGTGTGTCCCTGATCCAAGGCACAAGAGAGCAAAGACACAGGGAGAGAAAACAAAAAGCAAACCAAAGGGGGGTGAGGTCTCGTAGCTACCATTATAGTAGTGCGGCCCTACCTCCCTGCCTCACTCACGAGTTCAAACATCAGATAAATATTATGACAAAGACATAACTAAGCAGGTGACTACTCACAAATGAGGCCGTTGCTCGTAAAGGTTAAATAGCTCTTTTTTGCACAACAACATCACCACCGACTTACCCTGGGCCTTAACTTAACACCACCCACACCAAGACAAACAACCGCCCCTACGACACCATTTGCTGCTCTCGACATCGCCCTCGTGATGCACACAAACTGCAGGGTGGGAACAACAACAACAACAACAACAACAACAACCACCACCACCACCCCATAACCATGACGCCACTCGTCGCATCACTGCCAACCGAACAGGCCAACAACCCACTTGATCATGTCCATCAGGTTGTGCAGCTGGTCCTTGAACTGCGTCCCCACGGTGGGCTTCAGTCCCGCGACTCCGCTGGCGTCCTTCTTGGGCTTGGGTGCGGCCGGCTTCTTGCCCTTGGTCTTGGCCTTCTTGGCTGGACAACACAAGTACAACACAAGTACGCCAATGCCAACATTGCAACATAACATTTACAGCATAGCACAGCTTACAAGAGACCATCTCGCCTGATGAATAGCGCGGTATCACAGCAACACCGAGACGGCTGGTCTATGCAACATGACATGTTGTCTCGTCTATCTGAGGACGACTCACAGCTACGGCCATGGGTGCTGCCGTCCGAATGCAACAAGATTGTGCAACAGCGTGCAATTATACTACCGTACACACGAGGACCGTCTTGGTCTTCTCGCCTCGCCCGAGCATACTGCAGGTGCACTATCACCAAGCAGACAGACAAAAACATGGCAGTGCCGAAATAATTGGCGGCGTGTAAACTATTTCGACACTATCCTCTTAGTCCTGGCCTTCTTGCACGCCGAATAGGCACAACACAAACAAGCCCACATTATCACAATATCAACACATGGAGTCGACAGCACACACATACGCGTTAAGCAGACGGAATGAAGCAAAAAATGTGGCTTCATGGGGGGGGGGGGGGGGGGGGGGGGGGGGGGGG